TCAACTATTAAATTAGTCGTCGACGATTTTGATAGTCGACGTAATCATGGCAGCCCTATTCAGAAGCATGCATTACCTTTGTGTTTCTTTTATAATAAAGATGTGGGAAAAACTGCCCATTAGGTGGTAAATTCTGAGGTTAGACATGAATATTAACCTAGGGCAGTTTAAAGTTTCTTTGGGTGAATGAATGCTGTTTTTTATGGCTTTTATTACAGTCAGCTAAAGTAACATATTTTAGTAAACTGTAGAAGGAAAAAAGCTGGACTAAAAAAAAGTGAATTATTCCTGCATGACTGCCTTCACAAAGTGTTTTTGTATTGTAATGTCTATCGTCGTCTTCTGACAAATAATTCCCTTATAATAATAATTAAAAAGACTAAAACTAAACTAAACTAAAGATAAAGAAAAAATTAACCCTGGTGAAGCTAGCCTGAAGTTCTGACATATTTTCCTGTGAGCATCTCCATTAGCTGTCTGTCAGCACATGTCATCATGCTCAGCGGGAATAATTAGGCGTGCGGCCACGAAACAGAACTACTCTCACATTTTTCTGCCAAATACTTTTCATGCACGAGTCATCTGACTCGTATGTGTTTGTTTCATCTGACGGACGCGGACAGACGTTCAGAAGTTTAGAGAGCAACTCGGTGGATTTTCAGGCTGAGCTTCGTGTTGTTGTTGCTTCAGCCGTGAATGAACAGCAAAAGTTCATTTATCGGGCTAACCTCAGAGGTATTGAACAGAAATTCCTCCACAAATAGTGACATAGTGCCCGCAGGACAACAGTTTAACTGAAAAATTATATAGGGACATGAGAGATGAGAGCTTTGCTCTTACCTAGGAACATAACGAGAACAACAGCTGTTTGAGTCAAGCCTCCTATTTCAAAGAGACGTGTCACAGACGAGTTGGGCTCATCAGCTGATTCGGGTTGACATGGCAGTTTGTAAACCTGTGATTACAGCCAGTCTGAGTCAGGCTGTGAGTGTTTGGAGACAGCTCGCCTCATGCCGAATCAGCTGTGCAGTCATCTTGCGCTTGATACTGGAGGTCGCTGGTCACTGCAACTACTTGTGGTCAGTCTCTGAAAGCAGAAAATATTCAGTGCAATCACTGGGCGGCCAATGATTTGCTGCCATCCAATTTTTTGGTCTAATATGTTCATTTGAAACACATCAACCTGTGATCCAGGTTACAAATACACAATCTAGGGTGCTGAGTCTGTGGATGAATCCTCCCTGAATACACCAATCAGAGGATGTACTGGGATACACTGGACACCGACGTGCTATAGTGTGATTAGAGAAAATGAAAATGGTCTATATAAACAAACCTGATGAGTGGCTTTCAGTCGGCTCTTTCCTGCTTTTATATTACTGCTGCTCAAATTCACACCAGGCCACTGCATGTCCTCTGTTTTATGTCCCTCCAGCTCTCTGGTCAGTCACCTGGTGTGAACCTGCTGCTATAAGTGAGCCCAGATAAAACCATCGGACAATAAGCTGCATGTTAGTGTGAGCAAACTCCAGCTCACCTGTACATGTAGCTTAGTGAGGGGATGTACGTGCATGATTAGCAACAGCTTACGCGTCCAGGTGGCACAGCCACGTATGCAGGTGGCTGCATGTTGCATTAATCAGAGATTAGAAACAGCTTAATAAGCTGTAATCTAGAGCTGCATGGGTGTGACCTTCTGACTGCTGCCATTCCATTACACTGTGTGTGTGTTTGTGTGTGTGTGTGCAGGCCTGTGTGTGTTTTCTCACAGTAAAGTGTGAATGTGTGAACAGCTGCAGGGCTGACCTCCTTTTGTTTGTCCTTCCTGCGTGCACACAAATGGCGTCCTGTTCTCTAATAGCCTGCACTGTGTGTTTGTGTGATGCCATGTGGACTCCATCTGCTGAAAGATGGAGCAAAAGGAAAGAGAAGCACCTGTCCACACCTGTGCATGGCTTATGTCAACTTAGTGCAAGCCCAGTGGCCGTTCTGACCCACGTTAACCCCTGGCATGGGGCAATGACACGTCTGAGGGGGGGTTAAAGTTTGGCAGGTGTAGCGGTGCAGCATGGGGGAAAAATTACTAGAAATAAATCACATTATCCTTTTTTATCTTCCGGCTGCGATCAGCTGACCTGTGCTGCCAACTGGATTCAGTGTTTCATGAGATATAGGCTGATTTCCAACCTTAGACACTATAAAGCCAGAATAAAAGGAAGAATGCAGTGAATCTAGTGAGCAGCGCCCTGTATAACCTGATGTCTGCTATCTTTGATGTATCCCAGTAACAGTCAGCTAGATTTAATCAGGGCATCACTGTAAACTCTGCCACAGTACTGCCAAGTCTGAACTGAGGGGCTGAACCAAGGCCCAGAATAAGATACAAGAAATCTTCTCAAATGGAGTCCCAAGAATACAAATATGGAGCTGGAAATGAGCACAAACACTTAGACGCATACTCGTCTGAAATATTCCCACATTTAAGGTCTGAAGGCTTTTCTGGTGTAAAGGGAAAGGGCTGAAAACACAGTTAACATTGAACTACATCGTTACACTTCTTCATAAACTCAAGGTTCTTCTGCTTTTCAACAGATTGCTCATCATTTCCCACCAAACTGCTGAAAATCTTTTGCTCTAATTTTGTCTCGTTTCACGTCATTCATGTTCCTTGGTGGCATTAAAGTGCTGTCGCAGTCATTTCCTTCTCTTTCCGCTCTGTTGACTTCAGGACTGTGGAGATGAGATTGAATTTAGCGTCATAAAACACTAATAACACAGAAGTACTGCCGCTGCTGGCCTGCTCACCTTTTGCACCCTGATGATGAGCTCTGTCAAAGTCTGACAGCGTTGTTAGTAAGAGGATTATGAGCCGCGTGGCGGTCATTGACAGATTTAACTCTGCATTCTGAGCAGGTGGGATGAGTGAAATGACAGTTAATAAGTTGTGGCTCATTTAAAAGGACGACGTGTGACGGCCAGCGTTAACGGCGCTCTCTCTGTTTGTGTGCAGGCTGCAGGAGTCTCTGCCTTTCTGTGACAGGAGCGAGCTACACATCACGTTAACAGGTAAGCGTGGCTGGTTTGAACTCTGCTGGTAGGATTTTATTGATGCCAGTGTGATTATCAGTTCTCCTCATAGATATTAGTAATTCCTGGTTGATTTTAAGCGGGGATTGGGTGGATTTCCACCCCTTTAATGCTTCACAACAGGATGGATTTACGCACTCGAGGAAGCATATTTGACTGTAGGTCTCATATCATCCTGTTCTTGGCTCAGATGTGTTTTGTCCTTTTCCTCCAGCAGTGATGTGGCTGCAGTTTTCGCTTCTAAAGCATCACTCTCTCTGTTTTAGCAGCTTTCTCTCCTCTTGTGTCCAATCTTTGTTCTTTAAATCACTACAGCGTTCATATTTTAGACACAAGCAGCTCATTTTACTGTTGTCACCTTGGGCCACGGATATATTCTCAGAGACGTTTCTTCCTGTTAAAAGGGAGTTTTTACTTCCCACTGTCACCAAGTGTTTGCACACAGAGGTGTTTGATTGTTGTGGTTTTCTCTGTGCCGTTGTAGGCTCTCATAAAGAACTTTGAGGTGATTGCTGTTGTGATTTGGCCGTGTAAATGCTTTGTTTTTTCAAGGCAGAGATTGAAACAGATTTTTTTCAGTCTTAACATCAGGTTTTTTCCATGTTTCAGCACCAATTAGAATTACTGCCGACATTCCTGTTTCCCCAGGTGGTATCCTGGTTTGCTGTTTTTCCCGATAACGTGTGTGACCCTTACACTTTATTATGAATCACTAGAGTAGAAGCATCTGTAAGTTTTGTATGCTTTTCCATTAACCAGGCTGCCAGATTGTCTGTGAAACACAGCCTCGCACACGGTCCACACCCTAAACACAATTCCTACTGACGGAGCAAACAGAGAACACACAACCAGACTCAGGGAGTGTGTGCAGCTAATCTGCACACACACACACACTTGTGTCGGATGCTGAATGAATTACCTGCTGTCATAGCTTTTGTTTCACCACTTCAGCTCACTGTGAAGATGCAGTAAAGGGTGAGAATGTGAAATTTAAGCAAGCAGGTGGAGGCATATATGCGACTCTTTGGATAATTCGGGATACACGGATACAGCGCTTAGAGCACGGATCTGTGTGCAAGAGGTTATCAGTGGCGGTGAATGGAGCCTAACCCTGGCATGAAGAAGTGTTAACAGGAGCAGAAGCCGTTTCTTGGATCCAGCTTTTTGAAATTATTAAATCCCTGCAGCTTCTCGGGATCCAGATCGAGCGAGTTTGCACGTGACACAGCAGCAGTGGCTCCGTCAATTATTCGATCAATTATTCCTGAAGCTGAGAGAGAGAATCAGTCGGGTGTTAATCGAAAGTCACAGTCTGCTTTCCACAGCTGAGACAGGTGAGCTGTCACATGTTAAATCATTAGTTCCACATGTTCAGGAATCCTGAGCTCCAAACAGCTGTCAGAGGTTTTTACTCTGAGTCAGGTCGATTTATTTAATCTATCTGCTCCCTCTGCTCCACCCAAGCCCCACTCCATCTGATATGTGAGAGTTAACACCACCGTGTCTTCTGTTCCCTGAGTGGATGCAGTTCTGCATCTTTAGCCAGCGCTACCTGTTTGCATACCTTTAGGTTCACATGTTTGAAGCCTGCCTGTGTATACTAGTGAGACAGCAGCAGCTGAGAGAGAGCGAGTGAGAGCACGCCAGGGGCCGTCCAGGTCGGGTGTCGGTCCGCCTCTGCAGCACTTCTGGCTAAATTCAAACATAAAGCCGGACATTATCATTTGAAACAGAAACTGTTTCCGTAGTAACTCCCATTCTGGTGCAGGTTAGCCTGCAGGCACGATGTTCATGAGGTCGTTTGTCACAAAGAAGATGTTTGAGCAGTGCATCAGTGTTTGCAGTTGTGGTTCACTGAGGGAAACCAGAGGACTTCACATTATGTGAGTTGGCTGTAACGGGATTCTGCATTTCTGGTCTGACGGCTCCCAGCGTGCACTGCACCCTTCATTATTTATTGCATTGGCAGGGGCGGAGTTACACAGCTGGTATGTCAGGGATGGAGACAGACCCCCTGCCCCCCATCAGCACACCTGTGTGTGTGCTGTGTTTAGGTGGAGAAAAGGGGGGATGGTAATAGGGTGGGGCTACTGTGCTGATGAGAGCGAGTCGGCGGGTTTGCCATGCATTTTTTATGCACTGCATCATTCTGTGTGTTTGTGCAAAATCTGTGTGAGTATTTGAACTATAGGCTTACAAAAAAGGGGTGGCTGAAAGGGTAACAGAGTAAAATCTTCCTGAATCTGTCCTGATACGAACTGTACTCTGTGAAGTGCAGGGCTCCTGGGTATTTTAGTGTCGTCTTGTTTTAAACGGGACCTGCTGTGTTTTCTCTATTTTCTGTCACATTTGTACTGTTGGACTGGCAGATGTTCCTGTAAACGTACATTTGGCTGCTCTGTTTGGATCTGTATGACGTCAGTGAGAGCGGACATCCCTAATTTGGTTTTTATTTTTGAGGGGCAGCTAAACTTAAAGGGGGAGGAGCTAAAACAACTGAACTAAGCAGCTGCATCAAGGGTCAGAATGAAATAAATGGGGTTTATTTTGAACTGATGATTATGCAAAGCTAGTCTTGTAGAGTCCTGCTTTGGGCTGAGTGATGCTCATCACATCTTTGTGAACATATCGCTGACATAATAAGGTCTCAACTTGGTTTGGACACTGACTGAAGGGCTGTAGCCGTACTTTTCCTGGATTGGTCCCTCAGTGTGGTGACTCAGTGAAAAAGTCCTGGGATTAAATCCGGTCAAAGGAGCACCATTCATTCACAGGTTTCCTTTGAGAGGTTATTTTTCCCGCCATCAAATGCGTGCTAAAACAAAGCTAGGTTTGATTCTCCCATCACAAAGGCATTCACTTAGCGCTGGAGTTTAACCCCGTACGCTCCTCAGTGGCCTCCCGCTGCTCCTCAGACTGAGGGAGGATTAAATGTACTGAATGAATTTCCTTGTGAGGATCAGTGAAGACCGGCTTAACTTAATTGTTTAGTAATGTGTCAGAATTTGGTCTAAATGTGGTGGCGAGGTGGTGTCCAAAACCCAGACATTAGATTGGTTTACATTTTTTAAAACCAAACAAAGCAGCAAATCAAGAGAAATATGTTTCAAATGTGACCAAAATTCATGTTTGGGGAAAGGACTCGTTACATTTCTGGCAGCACTTCATTAATTTCTTGTTTCAGATGAAAAAAATAAGATGAAAACAGGGTGATGGATGGTAGAAGAAGAAAGCCGATAGCAGTGGAAAGATGAAGAGGGTGAAAGCAGTTCATCACACCGTGAGCGAGCAGAGCGTGAACTCTCCGAGTTTTTCCACTGAGAAATGGTTTTGTGTAAATTCTCCCAGTTTTCTGCTCGGATCTCTCTCCTGTTTGATCCTCCCCTCTTTATTTTCCTCTGACCCCCCCTTCCCCCTCTGTAGTGTCTCTCTTACTCCCCCCCTCCCTGTTTTGTACTCCTTTTTTTGTCTTGCTCCTCTCTTTTCATGCTCTGTGTTGGATCCTTCAGGCTGGACACATTCCTCCCTCAATCTTCTTTTCATCCAGTCTTTTTAAAAATCTTTCTTCACAATGATTTCTTCTGTCTTACACACACACACACACACACACACACACACACACACACACACACACACACACACACACACACACACACACACACACATGTCAGGTATTCATATCTTGGGGACATCTAATTAACACAATTCGTTCCCTAACCCTTACCCTTAACCATAACCCTGACACTAAAAGCACGTTTTGAGTCTCAAAAATGCCTTCAAACTTGTGGGGACCAGGATTTTGGTCCCTACAAAGATATGAAAACACGCTCACACACACACAGACACACGTTCACTTGATAAGTAGCTTCAAGCAGAAAACTTTCCAGGCAGATTTAACGCAGCGACGACTGAAGTGAGGAAAAAGTAGACAAGAAAAGTGTGACAAAGAGGGAGAAACTGAGGCTGTCGTCCATGCTTCTGCTATTCTTTCACGTTTGATCCTGTAAAATTACAGTATTAAAGTGAAAATTAAAGTTTACAGACATACTATAATCTGCAACAACAGTTATAACTAAAAAAAAGATTTTAGTGTCCCGTATAAATAAAATACACTTCACAGCACGATTCTGTTTGTCCACAGTTTCCCGACACTTTAATAACGTTTTTTGACTTGAAAGTCAGAGTGAACCTTTACTGGGATTTTTTGTTTGTGGTGTTGACATGTTTGATGAAGCCGTGCGAAGCAGAGAAAGATGTGAGCTGCAAAGTAAGAGAGCCTGCGAGGGACATAGAGGGAGACGACTCGCTGTGTCATTGAGTTTCTTCTGTGAAAAAAGCAAACAGTAAGAGAATGGAGAGAAAACATTTGCTGTCTGTTTATAAATAGGAATGAATACACTCTCCACCCACTGTGAAACACACGC